CACCAACATGCTGCCCTTTCAGCCTGGGGGCGTTATAATGTGACAGTCAATTCCACTATTCGTTGGTAAAAGAGTAGCCCAAGAGTTGACGGTGGGTGGTGATGACTAGCTGCCTTCCATCTAGTCTTACACTGCTAAATTAGGGACGGCTAGTGCAGATAGCCCTCGTGTAGCTTTGTGAGAAATCCATAACAAACAAACAAACTCTCTCATGGCCCTTATTACTGTCAGAAGTTGTCGCCGCATATCATGAAAGAAGCCCATGACAATGAGTGAATATCACTTGACATTTCTCTCAAAATTTATCAGAATACGGTATATAAACACATTATAAAGATGACACATATTTAGTCATGCAAAATGATTCCATATCAAAGTTCTGTGTTAGAAAAAAAAATCATTCAAATTATTTTTATGTGTAAAAGCTTATAACAATTTAGCTATTACCACATAGCAACGTACATTTGCTCTAAGGAAAACGAAACAGAACTGAAGGCAGCAAACCAGTACAGCTGAATAAAAATACAGTTCCTGTTTTCCCTAGTAAGACACGCGGTAATAGATTCCTCGTCAACGCCTCATTGAACGTGCTAGCTGAATTATAAAAACGCTTTATCAGAGTTGGCAGACAGCATTATTAATGTTTCCATTTAAAACGAACTTGGCAGGTCGGTCTGGAAAAAGAAAATTGCTACTTAATTCTGTTTTATAAAATCAAATATTTTATTCTTTATGAAAAGAAAATATATCTGTTCTTTTTTTGTACACGTGTACCAGTGCTGCTGGTAGCCCTAACTGTCTAAAGATACACATGACAACAACAGAAATTCGACCCGTCAAAATAAATTTAAAATTAGTGTAGGGCGTAAAACATCAAATGCGACTGAACTTTTTTTTTGTCTTTAGCTGCTTCTTCGGTAAAATCAGAAAACCGCCCGACTTAAAAGAACATCAGTAATTCAAGATCCGTTGTAACTAAAAAAAACAAAACAAATTAACATAATTATATTTAAATTTATAAGTTTCTCAAATGTAAAATATGTCTTTCAAACGTATTAAATTATTTTTCCTGCTTTCAAGTGTATTGTACCGTCAGAAAGTTGCTCGTTGAACGCGTAGGGAATCAAAATTAAGAGTAAAGATCAGTTAAATCAGCTATTTGTTCTTAAAGTCTACAACATAAACAAATAAAATGTTAATTTACATAAATTTTAAATATAAAGCGATTATCACACTTGCCTTGCACTTAAGCACATCGATACCATATGGTAATACTGATGGACGTGAGCCTTGTATACAGTTAGTTGACGCACCGAGATTAAAATATACAGGTTTTTGAACACGATCTAACTAAATTTAAAATAAATTAAAAAAGCATTAGAAAATAAGTTTTTAATTTTGTTTTTATACCTTGTTTTGGAATCAGTTTTCTTGGGACTATAAATTAGATATCAGTAAATACTGGTCTAAATATAAACAAAAGAAAAAATATACCCAAGAAAAAGTCTAAAGCGCTAGGCGAATTCAAAAGAAACCTACAGTGGCTAGGTTAGTGATAAAAAATAAAGAAAAGCCTAGGTTTCAGCTTCATTCTACTTACAACATCGATTTATTTGTTGAGTACCTTCATGACAGAGAATGTTTCGACCCCACCAGGTGAATGAGCCGAGCTTAACGATGTAAACTACTATATTTCAACAGTGAGTAATAGCGTTTCATCGTGACATGCTATTATGATTCATATTTATGCAGAGGCGTGACTTCATATAATAGCGAACTGCACGTAATACGTCAAAAGTGTATGTGTGCTGTCTCAAATTAAAAGCATCATTTATCACTTCAGTTGAAATACGATTTTTTTCATAGTGGAAAGTACAGAGTCACAAGGATTTCATCAAATACTGATCAAGTATAGAAAAAGAGAGAGGACTAAAACGTTTCAGGAGGAGGGTATTAGGGTCAGAATAATGATCAAACAGATCAATACCGACAGAAGAAAAGGTGCATTGTTAAAAGTGAGATGAGTGGTTGATTGACAGCAAGTGCTCAGGCAAAGATTCGTCAGCTTTGCATTGGTTTCGTCAGAATAAGATCCATAAACTTTCTGATGCATATCGCGTTTAACGTGGCAAATTTACGCAAGTTTACTTCTAACTTTTATATATTGATAGTGAATTCGAAACACCTCGTTATTTAGAATAAAAACGTGTGAAAAAAATTAGATAGCTAATAGTTTCAGCAAATTAATTTCATGGACACGAACCTTGTATACTGTTAGCTGACGCACCGAGATTAAAATACACAGATTTTAGTACAAGAACTAACAAAATTTAAAATAAGTTTAAAAAGCATTAAAAAAAAATCTTTGTTTACAAAAATTACCGGCTGACCCCAAAGTAGTTGGAATTAAGATCGTTAACGAAAAAAAAATCCAAACAGCCTGGCAACAATATTATAATCTAATTATTTATTATTTCATTTTAATATTCCAAACATGGCTAAAAGTAATAATTGTAACGATTTTAAAATGAACATGGATAACGATTAATATATGACCTAACTCGAGCACACTCACCAAGGACCTCAAGGTAACCAGCCTGGCTTATCATAGGCGATGTATTAACCTGGCACATATATCCACCGCGGTCCGATTCCTGAACGTTTTTGATACGCAGAACAAACTGTCTGTTATCAGAAGAACTAAGAAATATCCTGTAGTTCCGTGTAATGATGTGTTTGTGAATCGACAAAATAGCTTTATTCTCTACTTTTATCCATGCAACCTGAAAATACATGGTTGTAAATAGATTAAACACACAGAGTAAAATTATACTATGTATGATATCGACGAAAGTAAATACGGCACCGAGACCTTAGAACAATCCATTTATTAAAGGTAGTTATACATTTCGCTTGATAAAACTCTGTATAGAAATACATTTAAGAGGAGGTACAAATTTCGATAAGATTTTTAATTAAGACAGTACATTTTAGAAGAGGCACATACAATATTGACGGATAAGAATCTATTACAATACAGTCTACACGTGGATACACATTTCTCTATATAAGGTTCTATAACAATACATTCTACACGTAGGTACACATTTCTCTATATAAGGTTCTATAACAATACATTCTACACGTAGATACACATTTCTCTATATAAGGTTCTATAACAATACATTCTACACGTAGATACACATTTCTCTATATAAGGTTCTATAACAATACATTCTACACGTAGGTACACATTTCTCTATATAAGGTTCTATAACAATACATTCTACACGTAGATACACATTTCTCAATATAAGGTTCTATAACAATACATTCTACACGTAGATACACATTTCTCTATATAAGGTTCTATCACAATACATTCTACACGTAGATACACATTTCTCTATATAAGGTTCTATAACAATACATTTTAGACACCGATATACATCTTTCTGTATAAAGCTTTGCAGCAATACATTTTATAAGCAACACAGATACTTTTTTTCGATGTGATTAATATTGCACGTGCACGCTTTATTTAATATTAATTGATAACGATTTAGAACTACCAAATACTTAAGACTCTTAACTGTTAAACAGTACTATTATTCGAGTATTTCATTAAACCTCCAGAAAAATGAAATAATGTTTTAGAACACTGTATTCGATTTTTTTTCAACACTTAATCTGCGAAGCAGGTGAAAATTTTGGTGGTTCGATTCCCAAGTAAAGCTTTTCAGTACGCTCTTTTTAAATACTGAATAGCGATTTGAACTCCTTGCGGTATATGGTTTCTGAATCGCCCATCAGCATGCATAATTCGCACTCGTTTCCAGGCTATGAGAGAGGAAAACCCATACTCCAACTCAAAATCCCACACAAAACACGACAGAGGTCGCACGTGTTGCGCAATACAAGTTCTGTTTCCTTAGCTCTATAAAGCCGTTTTCTCGACGGTTTTCGCGAGTTCTGCTAATACAATGGCCAAGGAAGACTTAATGAAGGTTAGTTCCTGCTGTAAGGTTGATAATTATGGGACCTGCTTGAACACGAACACTTCTACTATTTTGAACAAGAGCAACATAATACCGCCAACCATAAACTCCACATCTTCGTGGTCGAACACTAAGTAGAGGGGAGTTCTCTTTACAGTAAAGTTTTTTTTTTAAGTTAACTGATCGAGCCCTTTATCAGAGTATCTTTTTTGTTTTAACTTGAATATCAAAATCCATAAAATCCCTCTGTAGTCCACCCAATCCCATGAATTCTGTCTCATCCACTCGCAGACAATTTACAGTTTAAAGCTTTGAGATACACAAAGTATATAAAATATTCTATTAAGCAAAATTGTACACGCGTAGATTACAATCAGTATTTTGTACAGTGGAACGATAAAGGAACTAACATCATATTCATCCTAGAAACATAATCAAGTACAAAGTACTACGAATGTATGAAGGATGTTGACATTAGAATCCGAGTCAGAAATACAAATGTCATTACTGGAGAGTTTTAATTCATAATTGTACAGTTGCTTTAAAGTACAAGAAGGCAAAAAAGTAATGCCTCTTTTATTCTACGATATAAGACTGATTATGAAACTTTTCAACCAAGAAGTCAAAATGTACGACAACGAAGCTTTCTGGTCTTACATATAATTGTACGATCTATGACAAAACACCGAGGTTGTACAGAATTCATTTATAAACTAATAAAACATTTAAAATTTGATTTACCTTAAATTGTCTGAGATGATCCACCACACAAGGAAAGCTGGCATCTCTGCCTAAAGGCACGGATATGTTAGGCACTGGATCGGCGAACGTTGGCTCCAGCGTAATCATATCTGTTTTCATAACACAAGAAAGTGTGAAAACACTTCCGATATTTTAACAAAGGTTTCCTCATAATAAAAAATATAATGGTTTCCAAATTAATTATCGCTAGAGCTTTCATATTGGTTAAGTAAAACAAAACAAATATAAATATAATACCCTCACCTTTGAAATAAAATACAATTTTTCAAAAACGTTAGAAACGTATATGACAAACAACGTTACTGCCCAAATGAATCTTAATCTTGTGTATAAACAGACTAGTTTCACTGCTCAAGCCCCCAAGTGGCACAGCGGTATGTCTGGGTTTTTCGACACCCGTGGTGGGCAGAGCACAGATAGCCCTTTGTGTAGCTTTGTGCTTAACTACAAACAAACAACAATTCACTGCTCAAAGTAAAACAAAACATTTTTCCTAACACATTTCAATCCAAATGTGCATCAAACATAGAAGGCAAAAACTCCACCACCTCAAGGAGGTAACGATGAGGGTTGTATAAGATTTTAAATTATTTTGCAACGATAAATATTTTTTAAATAAAATTGTATAGGGTCGCAGGTCGGATAAGTTTTTTTTACTAGATTCTATAGTGATGAGGGTTAGATGTTTTTACAAAATCCTATATTGGTGAGGACTAGGCGTTTTAACAAGATCCAATAATGCATTTGCGAGATTCTATTGTGGTGAAAGTTGGGTAGGTATTTTTACTAGATTAGTTAGAGATAATGATTGTGCAAGTTTTGTAATTCAATATCGATGCAAGTTCGGTAATGTTTTTACAAAATTCCACACTGATGAAGATTGGATAAGTTTTTATAAGATTCTGTACATGTAGTACTTAGGAAAGCATGATTTACTTTTCTTATAATAACTTAAGAAAATAATCTTTAGTTTATCATAAAACTTTCAAAAAGTTTCTGGTATTTGTGCTTCCGCAGTGGCCCGGCATTGCCAGGTGGTTAGGGCACTCGACTCGCAATCTAAGGGTCGCGGGTTCGAATCCTCGTCCCATCAAACATGCTCGCCCTTTCAGCCGTGGGGGCGTTATAATGTGACGGTCAATCCCACTACTCGTTGGTAAAATAGTCGCCC